GAATCCCAAATTCCCCCCGAATTTACGGCCTTTTTTTGTCCTCTAAACAGCATCACGTCCTCATCAGCAACTCGGAATTATCAGCAGATGTCAAAGGTGTGCACTCAGCACCCTGGCACGCCCCACTCGCTCTCTATATATATTTATAAACGCTCAGGTAATAAATATATATATTTAGACATGCTGGAGTGTGGACATGCAGCACAGGATGCACACGGGGAGAGTATTCCAGCCACAGGGAATGTATTCCAGCCACAAGCAGGAAGAGACTGGGATTTCAGGGCACAGATTGGGATTTCAGGGCACAGATCGGGATTTCAGGGCACACAGATCTGGATTTCAGGGCACACAGATCTGGATTTCAGGGCACACAGATCAGGATTTCAGGGCACACAGATCAGGATTTCAGGGCACACAGATCAGGATTTCAGGGCACAGATCGGGATTTCAGGACACACAGATCGGGATTTCAGGGCACAGATCGGGATTTCAGGGCACACAGATCGGGATTTCAGGGCACAGATCGGGATTTCAGGGCACACAGATTGGGATTTCAGGGCACAGATCGGGATTTCAGGGCACAGATCGGGATTTCAGGGCACAGATTGGGATTTCAGGGCACAGATCGGGATTTCAGGGCACACAGATCGGGATTTCAGGGCACACAGATCTGGATTTCAGGGCACACAGATCGGGATTTCAGGGCACAGATCGGGATTTCAGGGCACAGATTGGGATTTCAGGGCACACAGATCGGGATTTCAGAGCACACTGAGCCATCAAACACCAACATCCCCAGAACCACCAGAGATCCATCAGCCAAGCGTTTTGCAGCCAGGGAAGGGAGATCCTAACCCTAAATGCCCTTCTGGGATCCTCGTGGCAGCATCACCCCATCCCTGCTCCTCTGTTTTGGGGATCCACCCGCGGTTGTGCATTGGGAGTGGGAGGGGGGGATAAAACAGGGATTTGCTAAACCAGGCAGGATCAGGCCTCAGCCACTCGCGTTACAGACACACAGCACAGCCCAGCAAGGGAGCCGGCATTCCCTGCTGGGAATGGCTGGACATGGACACCCTGCCCAGCATTCCCTGCTGGGAATGGCTGGATATGGACATGGACATGGACACCCTGCCCAGCATTCCCTGCTGGGAATGGCTGGATATGGACATGGACACCCTGCCCGGCATTCCCTGCTGGGAATGGCTCCATGGATGGACATGGACACCCTGCCTTGCATTCCCTGCTGGGAATGGCTCCATGAACATGGACACCCTGCCCACAATTCCCTGCTGGGAATGGCTCCATGAACATGGACACCCTGCCTTGCATTCCCTGCTGGGAATGGCTCCATGGATGGACATGGACACCCTGCCTGGCATTCCCTGCTGGGAATGGCTGGATATGGACATGGATATGGACACCCTGCCTTGCATTCCCTGCTGGGAATGGCTCCATGGATGGACATGGACACCCTGCCTGGCATTCCCTGCTGGGAATGGCTGGATATGGACATGGACACCCTGCCCGGCATTCCCTGCTGGGAATGGCTGGACATGGACATGGACACCCTGCCTGGCATTCCCTGCTGGGAATGGCTGGACATGGATGGACATGGACACCCTGCCCGGCATTCCCAGCTGGGAATGGCTCCATGGATGGACATGGACACCCTGCCCGGCATTCCCTGCTGGGAATGGCTGGATATGGACATGGACACCCTGCCTGGCATTCCCTGCTGGAAATGGCTCCATGAACATGGACACCCTGCCCACAATTCCCTGCTGGGAATGGCTGGACATGGACATGGATATGGACACCCTGCCCGGCATTCCCTGCTCCCACAAGCAGGACAATGGGATATGGGAGCACGGATGAGATGGACACAGCAGGGGAGCTCTTCACGGCCAAGGATTCCTCCCCAGGGCGCTGCCCTCCCTGCCCAAATCCCGCTTTTCCATCAGCCAGCACCATGAATTATATGCTTGGAAGCACCTGATGTCCTCTGGCTGCATCCAACACCTTTCCATCCCTGCCCTCGGGTTGTCATTCCCAGCACAATTTCCCATCCCTGCACTACCGGGAGGGCTTTTCCCACCTTTCAGTAGGAATTTGGGGGGCAGGGAATGCGGGAGCAGCTCCCTGCCACAGGCAGAGCCTGCCCACCCTCTTCCTTCCTCAGCACAGCCTTGCAGGGCTGCTCCAGGGCTCTGGAGCTGGGAATATATCCCAGTTTTCAGCGGGATATTAAAGCTAATCCCGCACTGCATTCCCAGAGTGACTGATCCAGAGGCAGGGATGGTGTAAAGAACATTAATTTCACCGGGGTGAGACCAGCTTGGGAGCCAAAAATATCTCTGTGCTGCTTCTGCTGCAGCATCCACCAAAACAGCACAAAGCCGTGGCTGTCCCTGGATCCCTGGAAATGTCCAAGGCCAGGCTGGGAGGGGTTTGGAGCAGCCTGGGACAGTGGGAGCTGTCCCTGCCCGCGGGAAATGGAGAGGATATAAAATCCTCCCGAGCCAGCCCGGTCTGGAATTCCCTGAATTCCAAGGGAAGGGGGAGCAAAGGGACCAAATCCGTGTCCAAAATGCAGCCACGGGGACCTGTCCCTGCCCGGGGTGGGGATGGGACATGTCCCCTCAGTGCCACCCCTGGGCTGGGACAGGACCTGTCCCTGCCAGTGCCACCCCGGGCTGGTGACAGACCCGTCCCCCGGTGCCACCCAGGGCTGGTGACAGACCCGTCCCCCGGTGCCACCCCCGAGCTGTTACCGATGGCCGGGGGCAGGGGGGAGCCGGTGCGCGGCGGCGTGGCCGGGATGTTCTTCGGGGGGAGCGGCGGAGGGGCTGGAACAGAGCACAGAGAGGGGACGGGATCAGCTGGAGAGCGGCACATTCCATGGGATATCAATCACATCAACCATATCTATCATATCAATCATATCAATCATATCAATCATATCAGCGTGGCTGGGAACGACCTTGGGCACTTCCAGGGATGGAGCAGCCGCAGGGAATTTCATCCCATCCCTCCCCGCACCCTCCTCACCAGGAGGAATTCCTCCCCAACATCCCACCCATCCCGGCCCTCTGGCAGTGGGAAGTCATTTTTTGTTGGGTTTGATGGAATTTCGCCCCCTTTTTAATTTTTACATCTCAGCCTGCGCTCCTGTTTCAAACGCCTAAATTAGCGTTTTAATTAAACCTGGATTCCCTGCGGCACGGAGCTGCCTCCGCCTTTCTCCCGTGCTCATCCCACCTGGATCCGGGATGTGAATCCGGGATCGGGAACGCTGGGGCTAATTAACAGCGCCTAATTAACCAGCAGCGCTTTACAGGGGCATTTCTGGAAGGAAATGGTTCCCCGGCCCCCCCAGGCAGAGGGGAAGCTCCAAATAAAATCAGGGATTCGGGGCTGTGCTGCTCTTCCTGATGTTTTCCTGGAAAAAAACTGGTGCCTCCAGCTTTTCCAGCCAAGAAACCACGGCATGAAGGTGCAGGATGAGGATCCATCCCATCCCTCCATCCCTCATCCCTCCCTCCTCCACCCCCCTGGAACCCAAACAAAGTGGGGAGGAAAAAAAAACAACCCCAAAAACCCCTTTAATTTAAAATATTATGGAATTGCACAGCCTGGATGAGGAGAACTCAAACCTTTCAGCTGATTTCTGGATATATTGATTTATTTTTTTGTGGTCACTTACTTCCAGTTGGAAAAGGTCTCGGAAGTTTTGGGGACTCTACGTTTGTGTTGGCGGGCTGGACCGACCCCCAGATCTCGGGCTGGTCCAGAGCAGCTGTAAAAATCAAAAACAAACATTTAAAAGCAGTGAAAAACCCAAATATTTTCCTCCAGTTACTCAAAAACACTGAGGCTCTGGGAAAAGAGGGCCCAGACAGCGACAGAAACCTCATTAATTAAAGACAGGGGGTTCTGTAATGGTGGGTAATTAAAATCCTGTCTGATTTTGGAGCAGGAAGCACAATTAGTTTGACACTTATGCTGCTTGACAAACTAAACAATGCCAGGGATGGATTTGGAGGCTGATTGTGGGAAGGAAAACATTGTATTGACGGGAAAAGTGGCCTGGAATTTTAGGATATGCAAAAAAACAAAATAAAACAACAACAACAACAAAAAAAAAACCAAAAAAAAAAACACACCCAAAAAAACCAAAAAGCCATCAGGTATTAAAATGAAAATTGTATTCCCAGGTAATAAAGGGGGAGGGGAAAAAAAGGTATTTTTATGTATAATTTGGATTTCTTGGCATTTTTTTGTGCAGAGAACCGCTTACAAACGTTGCTTTGATGAAAAGAATTAAGTGGAGTCGTTAATGACGGGACATAACGAGGCTACGGGGGCAGAGGCCTCTCCCTGAGCTCCTGGAGGATCCAGGAGGAGGAGGAAGAGGAGGAAAAGATCTCTGGGCATGGATGGGGTTGGTTTTGGGGAAAACGAGTCCTGCAAGGCTCCTGTGCTTTGGGAAAGCTGGGAAAAATCAGACTTGGAAGGAGAAAAGTGCTGAAAGAGGGGCAAAAATGGCATTTTTGAGATGGCATTTCCTAGGAATGGGGGGCTCCAGAATCCCCCCTGCTCCAGGGCGATGGTTTGGGTGGAAAATCCTGAGTTGTGATATTCCTGAGCTGTTCCCTGCCAGCAGCTCTCCCAGACCTCATAATTAACTAATTGACTTAAGCACTTGCTCTGTTTCCACCCAGCCCGAGTTAACCCGGCCTGGAACCCGTCCTTCAACCCCTGCCTGGGCTGTTCCCTCCTCCTGCAGGGGCCTGGGAACCTGGGAATCAGGGAATTGGGCAGGGAAAACCCTCGGAGCCCATCGCACCCACCCCGAGCGTGTCCCTGCGTGTCACATCAGCTTTGGGGTCCCTCCAGGCGTGGGGGTCCCTGCTGGGGCTGGGGACCTTCCCACGGCCCTGACAGGAGATGCCACCATGGCCCAAAGTCACCCTGGCCCCAAAATGACCTGCCATGGGCCCAAAATTGTGTACCCTGGCCCCAAAATCACACACCCTGGCCCCAAACTCGCCGTGGACCCAAAGTCTCCACAGCCCCAAAGTCACTTACCATGGACCCAAAGTTGCCATGGCTCCAAACTCACCTGCCAAGGCCCCAAAATTGCACATCCTGGCCCCAAAGTTGCCACAGCCCCAAAAGTCACACTGTCCCCAAAACTCACTCAGCCCATCCCCAAACTCACTCAGCCCATCCCCAAACTCACTCAGCCCATCCCCAAACTCACTCAGCCCATCCCCAAACTCACTCACCACGGCCCCAGAAGTCACGCTGGCCCCAAACTTGCTCACCCTGGCCCAAAACTCGTTCGCCCTGGCCCCAAACTCGCTCAGCCCAGCCCCAAACTCGCTCGCCACGGCCCCAAACTCGCTCGCCACGGCCCCAAACTCGCTCGCCACGGCCCCAAACTCACCATCCAACTTGTGCTCCTCGAAGGCCGACTCCAGCGGGGGCCCGAAGAGCGGGGCCAGCGCCGCAGGATCCTCGCTGGGTTTCTTGCTGTGGGGTGAGAGCAGCACAGAGCGGCCGTGAGGGGCAGGTTTGTGCTCCAGCCCCGTCTTTGGGGCAAACACCAACAGTTTCAGGGAGTTTTTGTTATCCCAGACCAGCCAAGACGGCCAAAGTCAGGATCCAAGGTGGGAAAAAGGGGAAGGAGAGCGGTAGCACCACGGAGCTGCTGGGACTCTGAGCTGCTTTAGTCAAAACTTTGTGGAAAAGGATTTTTAAAAATTAAATACTTGAGATCTGGACCATGCTCTGGTCCAACACACCTTGAGTCGAACCCTGCAGCTGCACAGGGCACATTCCCAGTGAGATTTGGCTTTTTTCCATAAAAACTTGCAGGTTTGCTGTCCTAAATCAATGCATTCCCCCCCAGGCTTGGTCAGCTCTCTGTATGGATCAGGCTCAAGGTGGCTTCCCACAGGGAATGTCCTTGGAGCTGTCAGGGATGGACACTGAGCATCTCATCCACCATCAGCCCCTCAGTCCTGCCAAAATCCTGGAATGGTTTGGGATGGAAAGGACCTCAAAGCCCACCCAGAGCCACCCCAGCCGTGGCAGGGACAGCTCCCACTGTCCCAGGCTGCTCCAAACCCATCCAGCCTGGCCTTGGGCACTGCCAGGGATCCAGGGACAGCCCCAGCTGCTCTGGGAATTCCATTCCTCCCCCTGCCAGGGAACAATTCCTTCCCAAAATCCCTTCTAACCCCTGGAGCTTCCCATCAAGCACAGTGGGGACGTTCCAAACCCACACTGGGATGAGCTTCCTGAAGCTTGGATAATTCCACCCTGCACTGACCTGGCGGGGTCTGGCGTGGGCGTGGAGCGCCGGGGCCGCGTGATCTCCTCACCTGGGGCAGGACAGACGTGGATGAGAATCATTCCCATTCCAGAGCACCCTCCTGGCCCCCCGGAGCCCCCCTGCTGTCCCACCCACCCCGCTCTGCGGATCCTAAACCTGCTTTTAATTCCCATTTATTTCTGCACAGAGCTAAACCAGGGAACTGCGCTGGTATCCCAAGGATGTCCCCCACACCCTTCTCCAAGGAAAACTTTTGGGAGCCACCAGCTCTGCCAGGACCACTTGAAACCAAATTGAACTCACTCCTTTCCCCCCGCTCTCCCAAACCCCTCTGGCAGGTGCAGAGTGTGGTTTTTACAGGCTGCAGGAGATACTCACTGGATAAATTCCTTTTAATCGTCCCCTGGAAGGAGAAACACAGGGATAAGTGGGACGCACGGGGACACGGCTGCTTGGCACCCCAGGAGCAAAGCAGCCCAGCAGAGGTGACATTTCCTGGAGGTGGCTGAACTCCAGGGAGCAGGAAACCCTACAGGAAACCCTACAGAGCAGTTCTGAGCCACACCAAGCCACCACTGGCAGCTCTGCCTATGGAGCTGTCCCAAGTGCCACAGCCACAGGGATTTTAAATCCCTCTGGGAATGGGGACCAGCACTGCCAAGGGCTCGTGGAGCACAACCCAAACCCTCCCAACCGCGGCAGCGGGGACGTCCCAGAACCAGCGTGGATCTTCCCATCCTTGGGGACCCCTTTGCGTGATGGAGGTGCCACTGTGGCTGGGGTGACACTGTGGGGTGTGTGACACCATGGGGTGTGTGATGCTGCTGGGTGTGTGACACTGTGGGGTGTGTGACACTGTGGGGTGTGTGACACCGTGGGGTGTGTGACACTGCCGGGTGTGTGACACCGCCGGGTGTGTGACACCGCCGGGTGTGTGATGCTGTGGGCTGTGTGACGCCGCTGGGTGTGTGACACCGCGGGGTGTGTGACACCGCGGGGTGTGTGACACTGCCGGGTGTGTGACAGTGTGGGCTGTGTGACACTGCCGGGTGTGTGACAGTGTGGGCTGTGTGACACTGCCGGGTGTGTGACACCGCCGGCTGTGTGACAGTGTGGGCTGTGTGACACTGCTGGGTGTGTGACACTGCTGGGTGTGTGACACTGCCGGGTGTGTGACACTGCCAGGTGTGTGACAGTGTGGGCTGTGTGACACCGCTGGCCCCACGCCCCGTGCCCGCCCCAGAGCCCCGGTGTGCCCCAGGACCCCATTCCCGTTCCCGGAGTGGGCTCTTACCGGGCTGCGCCGCTGCGGTCAGCGAGAAGGGGAGAGAAGAGACACCTGGTCAGAGAGTGACAGGTCAGCACCCCACGGTCCCCAACAGCCTGTGGGTCACCCTGGGAGAGCCCCCCAGGACGACCCAAATCCTGGGACACAGGGGGATTTCCCCACTGGAAGCTGAGCTCTCTTGGAGAAACCCCAAGGTTTGGGTTTTCCTGCCTTCTCCTACCTTTGGATGTGCTCGATCCAGGTAAAACAGAACCCTTGGGCACCTTGTGCACATTCCTGGACCCAAACTGCACCCCCAGAGCCAGGCCCAGCTCTATTTTTGCACATTCTATTTTAAAATGCTCTAAGCCAGCGATAAAGGAAATTAAACTCTGTTCTACAAGGGCAGGATTTGCTATTTGCTTTTGGCATCTCAGCTCTAGACACAGGACAAGAGCACACAGGGCTGGGTTCAAACATTCCAGGAGATAAAAATTGCTTTTCTTACCGGACTTTTCCTCTAAAAGAAGGCAGGGAGAGGAACAAAAAAAAAAAAAAAAAAAAAAAAAAAAAAAAGAGAGGATGAGAAGGTGAGGGATTATTTCCCTAAGGAGGAATTGAAGATTTGTGTCGGGTTAAAGACGCAGCAGAGCAGAGGGACAGGAGTGCTCCAGCTTCACCCGTCACATGCGAGACCGGAGGGACAGGGAGCGTTTGGAAATATAAAAGTTGGGTCTGAGCCAGGTTATGGAAAGAATTCCATTCCCTGGCCATTCCCAGTTGAGGCACCAGAATTCCCAGTGCAGTTCTGGTATGAGAACCTTGGGAATGAGGGTGGCTACGGGCACCTGGCACCGGCTGCCCGGAGAAGCTGGGGCTGCCCCTGGATCCCTGGGAATGTCCAAGGCCAGGCTGGAGCAGCCTGGGACAATGGAATGGGATGGGATTTTAGGTCCCAATCCATGGGATTTCTGATCTCCCTCCCAGCAGGGATGTGGTGCCGGAGCGGGGCTCTGCAGCAGGTTTGGGAGAAAAGACAAGCCCGGGATGAGGGCAGGGACCTGGCAGTGAAACCTGGGATTCCTGTGGATGCCAGATCCCTGCAGGCAGCTCCTGCCGTGGGCTCTGGTGCTTCCCTGGCCCGTGCCAGGATCCAGAGCATCTCCATGCCCCAGCCCACCTGCTCCCTTTGGCTGCACGGATTTGGGAAAAGCCTGGCAGGGGCTTTTCCCTGAGCACCTTCCACAGGGAGGCTCCGGCTGCAGCCCCAGGGATCACCCCAAGGCACAGCAGCGTCCCCTCCAACCCAGCACCCAAATCCCTCAGCCCCTCCCACGCTGGGATCCTCCTCACCCCTTCCCAAACAACGGCAAACCCCCAACCCCGGCAGCAAAATCCCCAGGAAAAAGAGGAGACAAAAATCACGTTTGGTAAAATGCACATTCCACCAGAATATGGTTTTCCTAATATTTATATTATTATTATTATTATCATCATTATTAAATTGTTCATTTTGAGGTTGGGTTTTCCCCCTTTTTTTTTTCGTGCTTCCCAAAGCATCCAAGTGCCATTTCCAGTTCTGGGATGCCAACAAACAGAAACTCCCTGGTTTGGGAAGCAGAAACAAAACACAGGGATTTTATTTCAGTTTGGCTTGGAGAGTCATTCACACTTCAGACCCAGGTTATTTATAAATCATGGAAAGCTTTTTCTGGGAAGTCACCAAAGGCCACACTAAAACCTCCTGAAATCCCAGAATCCAAGGTTTTCATGGGATGAGCCAACAGGAATCTTAACAAGCCTCAGGGAAAGCGGAGTGGGGCGGTCTTTATGCCAAGCTGGACTAAGGAAAAACGACCTTTCCTTCCAGGAACCCGGATTCACCTCCAGGGTGGGAAACACCCCTCTAAAATCCCATGGAAAATCCACAGATGCTTTCCTTGGCTTGGGAATCAGGGCAAGACCCTGAATGATGATGACTGAAAATTCTCCTGGATTGAAATTCCCCTTTTTCCCCATTGAAAAAAATGAGAAGAGGGAGGGAAAAAACCCCCCTGAGGAATAAAACACCCCAATCTCTTTTCTGAGCAGGAAGGGGAATTTTTAGGATGTTTCGAACTGGAAACATCATTCCAACCCTCCTGACCAGCACCTGCAGAAGGACCCTGGTGCTGGATTCCAAACCATCAACCAAGCTCCCACCGAGCCCGGGCCGATCCCTGCAGGATCCCTGGGAGCTGGGAGGAGCGGGAAGGGCGCGGGGACTCACCACGGGGGATGGAGAAAGCGCGATGTTGCCTACGGAGGCCTTGAGCTCGTCCACGGTGGCGGCGCTGCGCAGGACGTCCTTGGCCTGCAGGGGCTTGATCTTGATGTTGAACTTCTTGTGCGCCTCCTCCTCCTCCTCGGACTCGCTGGAGGAGTAGAAGTGCTTTCCTTTGGTAGGTAGGGCACAGTTAAGGGATTTTCCCTCCTCAGGGATCCCCGGCTGGGCTGGCTGGAGAGAGGGGATCTCGGTGGTCCCGGAATGCTGACCCCAAACTGGGGGAGGAGTTCCTGTGCTGGGCCTGTCGCTGCCAGGGGATAAATCCAGCCCAGGGGGTCTGGCCCTGCCTGGATTTCATGGAATTGTCCAGCTTGGAAAAGCCCTGTGAGACAATCGGTTCCCCCAGCTCTGGCCTGTGTCCCCAAGTTCCACATTCCCTGTGGACTTCAAACCCCTGCAGGGATGGGGACTCCAGTGCCTCACCAGCCTTTTCCAGGAGGATGTTTTCCCAATATCCAACCTAAACCTGCCCTGGAATTTGAGGCCATTCCCTCATCCTGTCCCTGTTCCCTGGGAGCAGAGCTGAGAGCCAGGAGCTCCTCCCTGCTCCTCCTTTTCTCCGGGATAACCATGGACATCCCGGTCTCCATGGAGCATTCTCCCTGCTCCTCCTTTTCTCTGGGATAACCATGGACATCCCGGTCTCCATGGATTATTCTTCCTGCTCCTCACTCCATAGCAGTCAATCAAAGACAATCCCAAGGCCTCAGGGAATTCCCTCAGGAATTCAGCTTCATCTGCGGAGTGCCAGCTCCAGATGAAAATCCAAAGGTGGAAAGAAATAGGAATAATTATTAATAAATAATAAAAATAACGAAATGAGAAGAGCCTGCCTGTGAACCCCAGCTCCCGTTTCAGGACGGAACTCGAGAGGCAAAGCTAAACCCAAAGGATATCTCCCGGTTCCTCGGGTCGGATGCTGTATCCCTCCTCATCCAGCTCCGGGGAGTTCTGGATAGGGAAAAAAAAAAAAAAGAAAAAAACACAGTAAAAAAAAATTAGAAAATCCAGGAAAATTGGGAATGTTCATTCCTGGAAAGCTGGAGCAGCTCTTTCCTCCTGCACAGCCCAAGCCCCCAGAGCAAAGGGTGCCTCAAATTCCACCATTTGTTTTGTAGAAGGGAAGGTTTTAATCCTTGTTTATAATCCAAAGTTTTCTCTGGATAAAGTTCAACACCCCGTGGGCCAGGACGGAGCTCTCCAGAGCCAGCCCATTCCTGGGAATTCTGTTTGACCTGCAGGTGTGGGATTGGTGTCTGGACAGAGCTGATTTCACCCAAAGAGCCCAAAACGAGTGTGGGAACAGCCTGGGATCCCCATGGGAAGCAGCTGGAAGCAGGGAAGCTCCAGGGGACACTCACGTATCTGTCCCAGTCGATCTCCGCGTAAAATCCATTCGGGGCTCCGTTGGTTTTCTTCTGGAAAGGAAAATTCCCGTGGTTTAAATGGGGGAAGCAGGAACGCGGCACACATCAGAAATCCAACAGCATTCCCCGTCTCTGGAATTCTCCCACCCCAGAAGGATGGAGGGAGGGAGTTTTTTGAACATTCATTAGGTGGACATCCAGCATTCCTTAGGGAAAAGCGAGGAAATGGCCGCTTCTCCGTGCTCTGGGATCTTCCAGCCCATCAGGAAATGTTTACTGGGAGATAAAGCCCTTCCCTGAGAAAGGGCAACCCCAGGAAGGATTCATTCCAATCCCATTATCCCACATGCCAGGCGTTGTGGATTGGGATGGAGCAGAGGGAAGGGTCTGGGATGAGTCCATGCCATGGAACACCGACACACACAGGAACTGCTGCTTGGGATCCAGGGAATTCCCTTTGGAAGAGGCTCTGGGCATCCATCACCTCTGGAACCCTTTCCTGGTTGGCTCTGAGCACCCAAACCCATCCAAAGTCCCATGGCCACCACAATTTTGGGCACCTGAATGGGATAATCCAGCTCCCTTGAGCTTCCAGAGGGAACATTCCCATCCCAGCTCCCTGCCGAGGGTCTGGCAGGATGCACTCCCTGCTCCAGGGCTGGATGCAGCCCCTCACTCCACATCTCCCGAGGATGGAGCAGCTTCCCTGGGAGCTCAGCTGTGGGAAAACCTCCTCTGGATTCCGCCCCGTGGGAATTCTGGGCGCTGTTCCGTGGAATTCCTGCTTTTCCCCCATCCATTTGTATTCAACCCCGTTCCCACCAGCCTGGCTGACCCTGAAGTGCTTTTCCTACAACTCTGGGTTCCAAAGCGAGGGTGATTCCCTGTTTTCCACACCCCTGTGGGAGCTGGGAGCCGAGCTCCTTTTTCCTTACCCCGTTTTTATTTCCTCCTTCCCGCGTGCCCTCGGCTTTGCTATTGGAAGTTGGATCATTGGGATGAGGGCTGGGCTGCTGCGAGGGTGGGGGCGGCAGAAAAAGGGTTAAAATATCTTCTCCTCGGCCGGGATTTTGGGGTTTTTTCTTTTTAAAAAACAACTTTTAGGGACTAGGGAACACAGGTTTATCGGGAAAGGGGGGCTCAGCTGGGGCTCCCCCAGGATTAAAGGTGGATTTTCCTGTGGGCTCTGTTCAGCAGTCAGGATCTGCCTCCTGGCCACGCCAGCAAAAATTACCTGGGAAAGGCTCTGGAGGATGAAAAATGATATCAAATGTCTCCATCTGCAATCCCTCTGCCTCAAACACCTTCAGCAGCTTCGTTTTATTCCCTAAAAATTGCATTTCTGCATCCTTGGAGAGGAGAGCCGAGGTCCCTCTGCCCACACCTGGCTGGGAAAAGCGGCCCATGGGATTTCTGCTGGAAGAGGGAATGGCCTGGGGATGTTCCCTGGATATTCACGGAGTTAAAGCTGGAGAAAAGCTCCAGGATCATCCAGCCCAAGCTGTGCCACATCCCCACCTTGTCACCAAGTGCCACATCCAGGTGTTCCTTGGACACCTCCAGGGATGGGGACTCCAAACCTCCCTGGGCAGCCTTTTACTGGACTGGAGAAATTCCTCCTGATGTCCAACCCAAACTTGTTCTTTATCAATTTATCCAACCTAAACCTGTTCTTTATCAATTTATCCAGCCTAAACCTGATATTTATTATTAATTTGTCCAACCTAAACCTGTTCTTTATTAATTCATCCAACCTAAACCTTTCTTTATCAATTTATCCAACCTAAACCTTTCTTTATCAATTTATCCAACCTAAACCTGCTCTTTATCAATTTGTCCAACCCAAACCTGTTCTTTATTAATTTATCCAAGCTAAACCTATTTATTATTAATTTCTCCAACCTAAACCTGATATTTATTAATTTATCCAACCCAAACCTGTTCTTTATCAATTTATCTAACCCAAACCTGTTCTTTATCAATTTATCTAACCTAAACCTGCTCTTTATTAATTTATCCAACCTAAACCTGCTCTTTATCAGTTTATCCAACCTTAACTTGTTCTTTATTAATTTATCCAATCTAAACCTGTTCTTTATCAGTTTATCCAACCCAAACCTGCTCTTTATCAATTTATCCAGCCTAGATCTGTTATTTATTAATTCATCCAACCTAAACCTTTCTTTATTAATTTATCCAACCTAAACCTTCTCTTTATCAATTTATCCAATCTAAACCTGTTCTTTATCAATTTATCCAATCTAAACCTGTTCTTTATCAGTTTATCCAACCCAAACCTGCTCTTTATCAATTTCTCACTGCTGAGCAGAGCCCTGCTGAAGGCACTATCTTTACTTTAATCACAATTTCCTAACAAGCAGCTTAAATAATGCAGGGAGGGCCCCAAGCCAAGGATTTTGGGTCAGACTGGGGGGAAAACCAAAACAATTCCTTGCAAGGAGCAGCTTGGCCCCCCCCCAAAATTTTTATCTTTTTAAAAGCTACCCCAGCACTGCTCTCTCTGCTGAGCCTTGCAAGGGGCTCATCTTCATTTTGAGGTGAAATTCTAAAATCTGGATTTGCTGGAGAAATAAACCCAGTCTGAACCCAGAATATTTTTGGTGCCCAACACTAAAAGAGACAGGGCCCATCTCTAGCAGGGACGTTTCTAACACCAGGAATAAAAGCAGCAATAATTTAAAATAAAACAAACCAAACCAAAACCACAAATGCCTCTTTGTTTTCAGGTTAATATAGAAAATAAAAATAGAGGTTGGAAACAGCTGCTCTGGCCATTTCCCCTGAACTCCTCAGGCAGCAAATCCGGCCCAAGCCAATTAGCAGGAGTGGAAAGGAGGATGAGGAGCTGGGCTTTAGCTCCTGCTGCCCCTCTTACGTCTCCCCGTGGAGATTTTTATAGGAAACCTGGAATTTGGCGCTTTTTTTAACCTGGGATTTTACATTTCTTTTCTATATTAAACAGAAAAACTGCTGACAAATGCTGATGGAGGTGGAAGGGGAGGTGGCACTGGAGGGGGAATACTCACGATGCCATCCCTGTCTGGTGAGCCTCTGGAAAGAACAGAAAAAGGAGCTGTGTTAGTGCCCAAAGTGCACCCAATTAACCAATTAATTAAGTTATTCTTTAAATGAATTCATGGCAGCAAAAGGTATATATTATAGCTTTATTATATAGAATATGAGATATTATAAAGATATAATTATTATAATATATGATACAAAATATATATCATATTATATATTATACAATATATTCTATATACTATATATAGTATAATATATAACATTATATACAATAAAATATATATTATACTTCATCCAATATTATATGTATTATCTTATATTCTATATATATAAAAACCATAATATATAATAATGTATAATATTATATATTATGCCATATATAATATTATATAGTATACTGTATATATTATATACAGCATAATATATAATATATTATGTCTAATATTTATGTATTATATAATATTATTATATAATACATATAATATTAGCTTAATTAATATATTAACATTAACATTAATATATGTGTTATTATATTTTATATAATAAAACTAATATATAATAATATATATTATATTATCTATATTTAATTCAATGAAAATTTAATTTAATAGATTTATATTAATTATTCTATAATATTATTGTACAGTATGACATTATTATATTAGATAATTAGAATATGTAATATTTTATCACATAAAATTAATACAGAATCACGGAATTTTCAGCACACCTGAGTTTCATGCTCCTCGTGGAACCCACTCAAGGACACAGAATTTTTGCCCTCCCGTTGTCAGCTGATACATTTGAGGTTTATCAGTAAATAAAGCGCTGCTGGCGCTGTCCCAGCCACATCCCTGCCCTGTATCCATCCTTCTGCAGGAGGCAAAAATCCCATCGGGAGGAATTCCCAGGCTTTAGTTCTGCCAGGAGATGCTGAAGGGATTGGGAAACCGCTGAGGCTCCCAGAGATGGGATTTGGGATCTGGGCTGGCTCAGGGCAGCTCCGCAGCCACATCCCGACCATTCTGAGGGGCGTAGGGAGCGCGAATGCCCATGGATTCCAGAGGGGTTCCCACACATCCCGAATTTCCTGCGCTGCCAGGGATGCACCACCGGCTCACACCTGACTCGGGGCGTCACTCGGAGCCCCTTGGATTCACCGGGAATAACGCCATTCCCAAAGTTCTCCATTAATCCGTGCCTGTGTCCCAGCTCTATTTATCTCCATCTTTTTTCACAAAAGTCCCTGAAATCCTTCAGAGGTGGCAAAAATCGCTCCTGCTCCTGCTCACTGCGCGATCCCCAGCACAGGGGGTGGCGCCTCCTGCTCCCATCCCAGCTGGAATTGCTGGGGAGAGCCTCCCCAGGTGGGGGAAGAGCAGCAGCTCCAGCCGAGCCATTCCAGCCCCATCAGCAGCTCCAGGGACCCTGTGCGCTGTCCTGGGTGGCTGCAGGGTGTGGCAGATGCCACCATCCCTCCCATTCTTCTCCATTCCATCCCTGACTTCCTTCTCCATTCCATCCCTGACTTCCTTCTCCATTCCCATCCCTGACTTCCTTCTCCTGTTCCATCCCTGACTTCCTTCTCCATCCCAGCCTGCCTTCCTTCTCCTGTCCCATCCCTGCCTTCCTTCTCCTGTCCCATCCCTTCCTTCTCCCGTTCCATGTCTGCCTTCCTTCTCCATGCCTGCCTTCCTTTTCCTGTTCCATCCCTTCCTTCTCCTGTTCCATCCCTGACTTCCTTCTCCCGTTCCATCCCTTCCTTCTCCTGTTCCATCCTTTCCTTCTATCCCGTTCCATCCTTCCCTCCCTTCTCCCTTCCATCCCTCCCTTCTCCCTTTCCATCCCTCCCTTCTCCCTTTCCATCCCTCCATTCTCCCTTTCCATCCCTCCCTTCTCCCTTTCCATCCCTCCCGCCTGCAGGGATTTGGATTTGGAGATCGCCCAAAGCCCTTGGGGGTGTGACCGCGCCGTGACCCCGCCGTGCTAATCACGGCTGCTGCTAATTGCAGCGTCCTCCGGGGTGGCCTCTCGGCGACCTCCCCAGCGCCCTGGGATCCCTCCTGTCCCTGCCAGCAGCTCCCCGACCTGCCGGGAACAGCGGGATGGAGCCATGGAAATCTCAGCGCTGGATAAAGCCATTTTTCCATGGGAAGATGCAAAGGAGCCTCATTCCCGCCCATCCTGATAAATTATGGATGAACTCATGCCCAGCTGGAGCTGCCACAGCCCGGTGGATGGATGCCACCATCCGCAGGATGCATCTCGGGGATGTAAATCCCTCTTTTGGGATGCGCTCCGTGCGTCCCGTGCTCTGGGACAGCAGGAAGAGCCCGGCCGAGCTGCCAGTGCCACCAGGGACAGCTGGCCAGGCCTGGGATCTGTCCCTTGGCATGGGAAACCTCCAAACAGCTTCCACCGGGACATGGAACAGCTCAGGGAAACAAATCCAGGTGGAATAAAAGGAAAAGCCTCGGAGTTTCTGCTGAGATGTGGAAGAGCCGAGTGGAGCTGCAGGAGGGGCCTGTCCCTGCTGCCTGTCCCCACTGTCCCCAGGATGTGGTGGCTCCTGTGCCACAGCTCCTGTGCCACAGCCGTGGGGGCTGAGAATCATGGAATTGTTTGGGCTGAAAAAACCCTCTGAGACCATCAAATCCAAGCATTCCCACCGCTGACCATGTCCCCAAGTGCCACTTCCACAGGGATTTTAAATCCCTCCAGGGATGGGATGGACTCCTGGGCAGCTGTGCCAGGGCTGGACAACTCTTTCCAGGATGGAATTTTCCCAAATATCCAACCCAAACCTCCCCTGGCCCAGCCTGGGGCCGTTCCCTCTCCTCCTGTCCCTGTTCCTGGGAGCAGATCCCAAATCCCCCCGGCTGTCCCCTCCTGCCAGGGACTTGTGCAGAGCCAGAAATTCCCCCTCAGCCTCCTTTGCTCCAGGCTGAGCTTTCCCAGCTCCCTCAGGGATTCTCCAGCCCCTTCCCAGCTCCCTCAGGGATTCTCCAGCCCCTTCCCAGGCCGGGCTCAGCCCCCACCCCAGCATCCCCCACCAGATGTGGGAAGAATCCAGATGTTTTCTGGGAAGTGAAATCCCTGTGCTGCACCAAGCCCTGCACCTTCCCCACCCCGAGCTGCCCCAAACCTGCAGAAACACCAGAATAAATCGAATTTACATTTCCAAGGAGCTCTGCAGAGCTGAATCCGCTCCAGCTCCAGGGACTCCTTTTCCAGCGAGCCCCAAAAATCCCCCGGGCACCAAGAACCCCGCAGCAGCTCCCAGGAAATCCCACACTGGGAAAGAGCTGGAACGAGCTCGCTGCTCAAACTCCATCCAAAGATAACAACGGCCTGGGATGCCCCAAATTCCAAACCACATCCAAACCATCAACTCACGTGGAGTCAGTGTCCTTTTCTTTCTTGCGTATCCCAAAGGCCTTCCTGGTGCGTTTTTTCAGTCCTGGGGGAGAAAGGAACACAAAGGAAAAGGCAATATTAAAATTCCAATAAATCCTCCTGAAGGTTCCTCCTTCCCTCGCTGGCTGTGATCCATAAATGAGGTGGGAAAAGGGATCCCAGGAGCGAGGAGCTGCCAGGAGGTTGTGGGGACATTTCTTTCTGCCTTTTATTTGTTCATTTAATGCTTATTAACTCCCTCCCAGAGTGGGGGACAGAGTTATTGTCCAATTAATATCCCACTCTCCATATTTATTTCCCAGTTAATATTTCCCAGTTAATATTTTCCACTCAATATTTATTTCCCAGTTATTATTTCCCAATCAATACTCATTTCCCAGTTATTATTTCCCAATCAATATTTATTTCTCAATTAATATTTTCCACTCAATATTTATTTCCCAGTTATTAATTCCCAATCAATATTTATTTCCCACTCCATATTTATTTCCCAATTAATATTTCCCACCCAACATTTCTTTCCCACTCAATACTTCCCAGTTATTATTTCCCACTCCATATTTATTTCCCAGTTAATATTTCCCAGTTATTTTCCACTCAATATTTATTTCCCAGTTAATATTTCCCAATCAATACTTCTTTCCCTGTCAATATTTATTTCCCAATTAATATTTCCCACTCAATATTTCCCAGTTGTTTCCCACTCAGTATTTGTTTCCCAGTCATTATTTCCCAATCAATATTTATTTCCCACTCAAAACTTATTTCACAATTAATATTTCCACTCCGTATTTATTTCCCAGTTAATAATTCCCACTCAAGATTTGTTCCCCACTCAATACTTTCCAGTTATTGTTTTCCACCCCATATTTATTTCCCAGTTATTAATTCCCAGTTAATATTTCCCACTCAATGTTTTCCACTCAATATTCGTTTCCCAGTTGTTATTCCCAATATTTCCCAATATTTCCTCCTTTTCCGTGCTGTTTTTTGGGCACTGGTGAAAGGAGGAAAAACCCTCCTGAGGTTTAAATCCCAGTTTAAACCCCGAGCTTGGTTGTGCTCAGCTCTGATTTTTATCTGCACAACGCCTGGGACCGAGGATGCCGGAGCCAGCCGGGAAATCCTGGAATTCCAGGGCCCCCAGGAACCACCACAACCCTTGGGAAGCAGATGGAGCACAGTGGGTTTCTCCAGGCTTCTCCCTCTTTCTGCAGAATGCCAGGATGATTTGGGCTGGAGGGGATTTTAAAGCTTTTCCTGCTTCCCACGGGCAGGGACATCTTCCCCCATCCCAGGTTTTCCAGCCTGTGGGATCCATACATTCCATAAAAGCAGCTGAACCTCGCAGGCTCACCCATTCCTGGATATCTCTGCTTTCCCAAATCCATCCTTTTCCCCATCCCCACAGCTCCAGGGCTCAGGTGAGGCAGCAATAACCAAGGAATATTCCCATTAATGTCCCCCCTGGATATTCCTGGTGCTCCAGACCCCGAGAGGAGCGGGAGGAGCCCCAGGGCTGAGCTGATTTTTGGGATCCTCTGAAGCAGAGCCCGGATCTGCCTGGAATGAGCTCCAGAGCTCGGTTATGTAAGAATTCCATCTGCCTGCAGCGGTGGGGATGGAGGGGAAAATGGGGATTTTTGGGAAAGGGGGAGCAGAAAGGAGGGGCTCCGAGAGCAGAAAATCCCCCAAACCCCCCCGTTCACCCCAAGGTGACACCACAAAGGGCTCAGAGTGGGGGTTCCCAGGATTGGGATCTCCCAGGAGATCCCGAGCCCCCTGGCACAGGAAAATTCCCAATCCAGAGGGGCAGGGACTGAGCCGAGGGTTGGGATTTGCTGCTCCCCAAACCCTCTCAGGAGGTTTTAGGGATGAAGCACCTCGAGACCTTCCTGGCAAGACTCAGCCCGATAAGAGAGAACTGAATCCTTCCATGAACCTCACAGAAATCCTGCCTGGAATTCTCTGAGCTGGAAATTCCAGAGAAGATAAGAGAGAACTTTCCATGGACATCCCAGCCTTGGACCACCAAAATCCCACCTGGAATTCTCTGAACTGGAAATTCCAGGAAAGAATCAAAACTTTCCATGGACATCCCAGCCTTTGATCACAAAAATCCCACCTGGAATTCCCTGCACTGGAGATTCCAGAGATGAATCAAATCTTTCCATGGACATCCCAGCCTTGGATCATAGAAATCCCACCCGGAATTCCAGGACTGCCAGAACAATCCCAGGCTGATCTAGCCCTGCTGGATCTCACCTCAAACACAAAAATCTCCCCAAATCCAGGGCGTTATCCAACCCCTTCAACCCTTTTTAATTCCCTGCTATCCATAAAAATTCCATCAGGGAAACACAATTCCCTGTTTAAAACTGCAAAACTCCCTCTGTTTTCCTTTTGAGAAGGACCAGCATCATTTAATAGCTAATAAAAATATTAGAAAGATAAATAAGTATTAGAAATGCCAATAAAAATGTTATAAACAAAAATAAAAAATATGAGAAACGCCAATAAAAATATGAGAAACATCAATAAATATGAGGAATGCGAATAAAAATATTATAAATGCCAATAAAATATTAGAAACGCCCATTAAAATATTATAAATGCCAATAAAAATATTAGAAATGCCAATAAAATATTAGAAATGCCCATAAAAATATTACAAAAAAATAAAAATATTAGAAATGCTGATAAAAATATTAGAAATACAAATAAATATAACTATAAATAAAAATATTAGAAATACGAATATAAAGATGAAAAATACATATATAAAATAATATACTAAAGAATATATAAAATATTAAAAAGATAGATACAATATAGATATAATGTAGATATTAAAAATACCTCTAAAATACCTTAAAAATTGAAAATAATAATATATAATAATACCTAAAAAAAATCTAAAAATATCATTATTTATATCACATATAATTATATAAGAAATAAAATATATCATATACAAATACATGATAAATGACACATCTCATAAATGAATAAATAAAAAATTTGGGGCTGTCCTGTAAGAATTCCTGCCCTTCTCCCACCAACCCCTCTTCCCTTGCACAGGAAATTTTGGGATTGGGAATAAAAAAATTCGGGATATCAAAAAATTTGCAGCCCCAAACCCCTCCCAGCAGCTCAAAGATTCCAGCCCAGCGCCCGCACTTTGCCCCATTTTCTGCTGGGTAATTAAATTAATTAACGCCTTCCCAGCATTCCAAAGGGCTCGGGAGCGGCTCAGGGATAACCTGAGCCCTTCCCCATGGCATTAATATTAATTAATTCTCATTAATATTAATTATAAGTCATTAATATTTCAGCTCCCCTCCTTTCCCGGCCTGATCCCGGATCTGGTTCCAGGGACGAGGAACACCAAAGGAGCCCCGGGAGAGGTTGTGGCACAAATCCTTTGGGATTGGCCTCGGTGGCCCCGGATCCAGCAGCAAATCCGCACTTGGGAAGTTGGGAATGTTCATCTGGAGAGGAGAAATTCCAGGGAGAGCTCAGAGCTCCTTCCAAGAGCTCCAGGAGAGCTGGAGAAGGGCTGGGGACAAGGGATGGAGGGACAGGAGCCAGGGAATGGCTCCCAGTGCCACTTCCCAATATCCCAGATGGGACACGGGGAGGGAATCGCTCCCTGCGAGGGTGGGGAAGGGCTGGGATGGAATTCCCAGAGCAGCTGGATCCCTGGAAGTGCCCAAGGCCAGCCTGGGACGTGTCCCTGCCCATGGGATGAGCTTAAAGCTCATCCTTTCCAATGAAACAATTCCATGATTTTATGGCTACAGCTCTCCCAGGCTCCTCCTCCCTGCTGGAAGAAGGGAAATGAAAAAGGAAGGAAAAGGGATTTTCCGGAGCAGGACGTTGTTGGCATTTCACCTGTGGCTCCGAGGAAAGAAAATCCTTGAAAATCCAAGTGAGCAACGCTTGGCTGTTGGGGTGGGGGTGGTTCCTTGGAAAAATACAGATAAAAGCTGGAAGGTTTGGTCCTGATCAGAAATTTGGGTAAAAAGGCACCGAAGGAGGAGCAGGGTTAGTCCAGGAATGGGAATGTGGGAATGTGGGAATGAAGGATCTCGCTCCAGTGGACAGAGGTGATCCCAAATCCAGCCCCATTCCCAGCCCTGAGGGTTATCCAGTCTCTGAACTCTGCCCGACGGGGATGAATTCACATCCAGCCCTTTTTCCCAGCCCATTCCAGGTGGGAAGGGATCCCAGGAGGTTCTGTGGGCACCCCTGGGTTTGGGGCTGTGTCCCCCTGTCCCAGAGCAGGATCCAGCCCCGCATTCCCAGCGGGATTTGGGCTCCCAGGACCTCCCCAGACCTTCTGCACCTTCTGCCCTTTGCCAGCTCCCCAAATATTCACGGAATTGGAGCTGGGAGCTCCGAGGGCTGGGAATGCTGGGGGTGAAACCTGCCCCATGCACAGTGAGGGAATGCTGGCTGCTTTGGAATTATGGAAATTTTAGGCTGGAAAAACCCCCCAAGATCCAGAAATCCAAATCCAACCATTCCCAGCACTGCCAAGGCCACCACTGTCCCCAAGTGCCACATCCACAGGGCTTGAAATTCCCCCTCAGGGAATTTCCAGAGCTGGAAGAAACCCCTTTCCATGAAGAAATATTCCCAAAAATCCAACCAAAAGCTCCCTGGCATTAAACACAGCCAGGCACAAAGCCCTGGGCTGGATCAGCTCAGCTCAAACACCTCAGGGACCAGATTCCAGCTGCAGAATATTCCCAGGATTCGGGAATAAACCCCAAAGCACGGAAATGATCCATATCCCACATGGAATAAACCACACAGGGCGGGGCTTGAGCCCTAAGCAAAACTTGGGATTGGGAGAAAAACTCTCCTTAAAATCCACGGCAACCCCAGCAGGATTCATCCCAAAAAACCCAAAAATCCAGGATCCATTCCACAATTCTATCATTATTAGGAATTAATTATTAATATTAACTTTGATAACAATGTGTAGATTTAACAAGTTCCATAAATGGAGCATTAAATATTATTTTAGTATATATT